GCCGATTCATCGATTTTTAAAATAATCGTTAGTTGCAGCCCTACTCTAAACATTACACCGTCACCTTCATCACTTTCACTATTCCCTAATACAGCTTATCCAGAACTTCTCCTTGGAGTAGGAGCAAGGATGTTAGCCCAAAGAGGGATCATTTTAAACATCTGATTAGAGACTTTTCATACTTTCCCTTCAGTTTCGTTCCGTTGATGGTCGTGTGTGTCGGATGATTTGAGTGCTTTTCACCCGTTGAGGTAATCCTCTGAGCTGCTGATTATCCTCACAGCAGCTGAGTGACTTCAGCTGAGGGGAGTTTGGATTTTGCACGACTGATTCATTAAAGTTAGAGGCCGTCAGGTCACAGCATGGCTGGAGTTCAACTTCATGTTGGTGCTTTTCTGCAGAGCCCGATGTGCTTTATTGTTGGTCTCTTCCTGCCTCCATTTTACTCTTAAACCATGCTATTCAGTGCCTCTAAAAATAGACTAAATAGTCTTAATTTACTCATATCTTTCATCAAATTTAACTTATTTGTAACTTTATTTTTTAAATGCATCCCATTCTTGTGACAACTACCCAAATTCTTTTAATTATGGCCAACTGAAGCTGAAAGCAAGATTGACGTTCTGCTGGTATTTGTTTCTATAGCTTGAAATTTGACTAGAGCAGGGTAAAGTAGTTTAAATTATTAATATATTAAATATATTGTAAAGAATTCAAAAAGACAGCAGCCTTTTTGTCTGTAAAGGGGCCCCAAAGGACATGATTTAAATGGGTCTTTATGAAACAAAATGTACTAGTTCTTTTATTGTGAGGATGTTCTGTCGGACCAACAGCCAAACTTTTGTATCACCCAAAAACTGAATGCTTTTTTTAATCACACTCAGAATAACCTGCATTAGCAGTATTAGGATATTAGTGCTAAAGCGGCGCTATGGTTTGCTGGTATTTTGTAAAACAAAACAAATTTCTCGGGTCGAGCCCAGAAGACATGAAGGGAAGTTTGTGGTTTGTAGAATTTGGCCACAGCTTTGAAGGCTGCATCTGACCTGTTCTTATTTTAACTAGTGTGTGTATGTGTGGCCATGTTTTTCTTACCTTGTGGGGACAAACCACTGGTCCCCATGAGGGAAAGTTGTGCATTGAGTTTAGCTTAAGGTATGTTAGCTTAAGGTATGTGTTGGTAAGGCTTAGGCCAGGGTAAGGGTCTGGGTTACACCATAGAGATCAATGCAATATGCAAGAGTATCGATTCATGTTTTTTTTTTCTTCCTCCGGTCTATTTTTATCCATCTGCTCATGGACGTCATTCTGACTCCCGTGCTGCGGTGGCATTAAACCTGTTTTGCCCTCCTACCTCGCTTCCTTTAGCCACTACCCTCTTTCCGCTTGCACACACTCACTCGCATAAACACTGAGGCATTATTGTTTTTCAGTGAATGAGGTTTTCACAGGCCTAGGTGAAGTACAACTTTGCTACTTCTGTTATTTGCTGCTGTTTCTCAAATAAGATGCATAACGATATTACAGCTCTCATTGATTTATTTCAAATTTGAAACATTGTCTGGCAAGGTACAAGGTAAAAAAAATAAAATAAAAAATTACCAATTAATCGAACGTGTTTGTGGGAGGGTGGGTGCATGGGGGTGAGGGGATACAGGGATCGAGGATGTGCTTCGTAGGACATGATGCGCTACTTTTGCAGTAATAGTACATCAAATTAAGTTTTTAGAGTATTTTCTTTGTTTTTCCTGAACGATCACATAATCGTAAACTGGATCAATCAGAAAGTAGGTCATGCCGTCAGTTTCTCTTCCAAGGATCCAGGAGGTTGGGTGAGTTAATCTTCATCTATGCAGACAGCAATAGCGCAGTGTTAGGTTAAAGGTAGCTAAAGGTTTAACTCCTTCCAGCCTGTAAGTGGCAAACCTGCCTTTTCTCGCTAAGCTACCTTTATGAAAACCTTTGGTTAGCGTTAGCAAACATTCACCTCCATATTGCTTCTGATCCCTTTGTTTCATTTATTGGCCGCAAACACTCAAAATCTTTACTGATATTTGCTCCTATTTTGCATCATTTTTTATTTTCTCTTCGGCTAAAATAAAATAATAGAATCGTAATGTTGAGAAGAAGCCATCTCACAGGGTTCCTGCGGGTCCTTAAAAAGTCTTAAAAAGGCTTAAATTTAACTTGCCTTATTCTGTAGGAACCCTGCTCTCAGCTCTATAACCAAGCTACTAACACCTGACCTCTGTCTAACATGACTGCAAACTCCTATTCTTGTCAATGTTACCAGAAGTTCATATTTGTTTAATTTGGGCCCGTCCCTTCCATTTTCCATCAAGCTTATCCGCAAGGGGTGCTAGTGCCCATCTTTAGCTGTCAATGGGCGAGAGGCGGGGTTCACCCTGGACAGGTCACTAGTCCATCATAGGGCAACACAGATACAAACAGGACAAACCATTCACACACACACTCCTAATTCAGAAAAGCAGATTAAGCCGATTTTTGAAAACATGACTGTTAAACATGGCTGTCAAAATTTGAAACCATTTTTTTCTCTTTAAAATTAGTGCTCCTTTTCTGAGCCACTCCAGACGTCCTGTTGACGTATTATTTCTTACAAAATCAACAAATGAAAAAAGCTGTAGCTGTGACCTTTAAGTGATGTTGCTACTGGGTCGTTGCTGCAATGTTGAAGCGACTGTTGCCTCACAGTGTCAGTGGTTCATGTGGGAGGAGGACGGGCAGCCTGCAGCCTGCTAAGCAAACATGGCGCTGTAGTATTTTCTCCCTATGCGATCATATCTTCCTATATCGCTGAATGAAAGTCAGATACACACGCTACAGAAAATTTTATAAATTATTTTCTTAAAATAAGTGAAGTGTTTCTTGAATTGAGCAGTTAAATTAGATCCTTATCCAATTGACTTAGACAGTTTACATTAATAATAAGAAAAAGAACCAACTGCAGTCTCTTATTTCAAGTGCATGATATCTAAATATCTATTTATAAGGGTAAAAAGTCCAAGTATCTATTTTAATGGGTAAGAAAATGCTAATTCCAGTGGCAGATCATCTTATTTACATATTTAAATTAAGGGTAAACACACTTATTTTAAGACATCTTTACTCATATTTAGATTGTTTTGCAGTGCATAAGTCTAAACACAGTATTGAGCTAAAGAAGTTTAAGGTTTGGGATTGTAAGCTGTGCATTTTCAACAGTTAATGTTAGAAAATGTTGTTCCTCTCTCTGTCTCTGGTAGAGAAGCTGCCTGGCCTTCACATCCTTCTCCATCAGAGATCTTCTCAGGTCCAAGGAGCCTCACAGCTCCCTAAAGCTCAGGTAAAATCTCTATTTGACGGTTTATGTGTTATCTCTTTTCATGTTTTGTTTAAAGCATCATAAACTATATTTAAACTTGTTAAAACACCTCCACTGATGTTCCAAATTCATCTTTTTTTAGCAGCCCAGATGTAAATGAAGTATCTGAACTATTTAGAGAAATGTAATGTCACATCTGAGAGCCAGTGTTCCACATCCCTGCTCTCATATGTGTTAAAAAACCCTGTGTAGACAATGAGGTTCTTTTTATAAAGGCTTTAGAAAGGGTCCGGTTTCTTGCCTCCTGATTGGCTGTTGCTTGGATACCTTTACTCAGAAGAGGAAATGAGATGGGGCAGCGTGTTCCTCCGCCTCCTGAGAGAGTTTCCTGTTTAGTTATCACACCTTCAGCGAGACTCCAGAGGAGTGAGGACTCGTACCGTTATGAGGGACAGAGAGTGGAGGCGAACTTCGGAGCTCAGAAGGCGTCTTTGTCCCAGCGCGCTGCGTTCAGCCGCATCTGGATACTAACACATGCCTCAGTGCAGGTTTGCAGAGACTTTGCTCGCTACACATCCAGGCTAGTTTGGCTTTTGTTTTTTTTTTTCATTAAGGTTGTGATAAATTATATTTTTCCAGTTTCATTTCATCCTCATTATGGTTTCAAACGTTCTTAACGGTTTTTGGTAGTTGTGTCACTTTCTCACTTCTTCTAAAGCGTTTAATATTTATAGCCTGGTTGCAGCGAGAACATTGTCAGACAAAGTAAGATTTGTGAGCTATTTATCTGTCCAAAACCAGCATCCAGAGGGGCTGTTCTGGTTTGGTCACCATGCAGTCTAGTGAGGATGGTTAGTGCTGCACTAAGAGAATCAGTCAGTGGAGTTATTCCTGGTAAATGTCATGCTATAAATCCACATTTTGCTCCCATGGAGCAAACCTTTCTGCTCTCACAGAGAGCTTTTAGATCAGTCGTCCAGCTGGTTTCCTTTAATCTGCTCTGATTGGTAACCAGCAGGTCAATAACCTAAAGATCTGCTGTTCTTTGTTTTCCTGTAGATTAAAAGAATCTACAGTTCCAATACTTCTGAGCACATCAGCCGCAGCAGCGTCCAATAGAGATTAGAGGCAGATATAAGAACAGGCATCCAGTTTGATTTTAACAGCTGGTAGAAATATAAAACGTAGAAAAATCTGTTGGGTTCATCTTTATCTTCTGGTTAAAAGTGAATGATGATGTATGTTAGGTTCTTTATCGGCAGGCAGGCTGGGGACCTGTGATATCACATACATTGAAAGTGTGATGGTGGTATATTTGTAATGAATATTCTTCTCTAATGAGGACTGATTAGCTCATATCTGCATTTTCTGTGGCCTCTAAAAGCGGTTTAAAACACTAAGACAGATCCATTAGACTGCCTGTTCAATGAATAATTTACTCTGACAGGCTTGTTAATCCAGTTACACTCTATATTTTCTCTCTTGTTTATATAATCTGTTTATACTCTCAGTCATCCTCTACTGTGTTCAGGTAATCTAGGATTTAGAAAGTCTTTTTGGACCCCAACAGAGGTTAGGCTGGTTTAACCCAAACATTCATCATCTGCTGCCAGTGAAACTCTAGTCCAGTTTGTGGTCGTCATGCCGACTATGGATGGGATGGAGGCGGTTTCAGCTCCAGGGAGCCTTGAGGAGAGAGGTTGTTATCAGCTGTAGGCAGGTGATGTCTGGTTGATGCATCAGACTGCATTAACTCTAAACTCTGAATGATCAGAACTCATAGGGCATTTCTCTGATCCTACTGACCCCTTTAAGCATCCAATAAGGCAGGGCGATATGGATTAAAAAAAAAGAAATTTATGATTTATTTCCTACCAAATCTGAATTATCTTTTTTTTCAGTAAATTTCTTTATAAAAAATGAGAAAAGCTTTCAAAAACTAGTTCTGATGTCAATCATCTCCTCTGGGAGACGACCTTAAAGGTATAGTGGAGGATTTCTGCGAACTTTTGAAAAGACCTGCCCTCTCC